AAAGGTATTTAAGCACCCCGTGGAATTTATACTTCAGCCCAGAAAAACTGGAGTTCTGAGAGTCCCCCACACCCGGGCCAGTCGCTGGCACAGTGAAAACACTCATGGGGTCTCACTGTGGAGGCAGAAATGAGCTGCAGCCATCGAAGTCATCCCTCTACGCCCATACCTACCGGAGTCTACGGCCCGATTCCTTCGCCTTCGTGGTGCTTACGGGGGTTCCGCGCTGCAGATGGGTCCTGATTCAGCCCAGTTCTGCCTCGGCTCTCCTTCCCATTCTGCCCTTGCTGCGAAGAGCTGGCTCCTTACCCAGGTACACCTGAGCCTGTCTCCTTACCACCCTCCAACGAGCCTTCCATGGGTAATGGAACTGGAATCAGAGATGAATTTTCTACCTTGGAATTTTTAGGCGTAACTCCCACCAACAATGACACAATGGCAAGGAGGACGAGCCCAGGATGCTGGTTTAAAAACACAGATGGTCCCCAGGGCCCTCATGTCACCTGGCAAAAAATACAAACTCCAATAGCTATAAAGACCAAGACTAGGAAAAAGAGATAGGGTGGGAGGGAACTCTCTTGCCAATATTTTTGGACAGTGACTAAACCAGCTGCAGAAGGCAGGGAAAGGAGCCAGGCATGTGCTTGCGGGGAGATGGGAGAGGGTCATGGGAGCATTCCAGGCTCCAGACGCACAGGCAGGGAGCTCGGCACATCCTTGTGAAAGCCTGAGGCTGAGAGCCTGATGTTTTAAGAAGTGAGAGAGAGAGGACAGTGTTTCGGTCAGAGCTTGGCTCTGAGGTCACGATCAGCTGTGCTTTGTAACAATCACCGCATCAGGCCATCGTGCAAAGCAGGTTGGACGCCGCAGGGCTGGATTGCGTGCAGTGCTGTCCACATCTCACACCTCTTCAGAAAGCACGGAAGACAGCTGCTAATGCGCTCGCCCAGTGCTGTCCCTCACCATTCACCTGGCCTGGCCGTGTGCAGGAGAAAACCTAGTGCAACACTCCCCACGGAACAGCAGCATGTTGTTTGTGTTCCAGACAGGAAATGGAGCTATGCTGGCATCAAAGCTTATTCTTGAGACAATGCTGGGCCCTTCTGACTGTGAGCTACAGCACTGCCAGGAACGGGGAGGCATGGGCGGCAAGTGGACCTCACCATGGACCACACTGCCTGGCTGTTCCGAGCAGCCAGACTTCAGTGAGGCGAGATGATACAAGGGAGGGTGCCTGAGTCTGTCTCCCCACCACCTGGTCATCTATCTACTTGGCCTAATTATTTGTGATAATCTTTGTCTTAGGGAGGACTCTCTAAGTTATTTATGTTGAGGTCCAAAGAAGGGCAAAGGCAAGCTAGAAAAAAGCTCCAGCAAAGGTCTTGAGCTGGATCGATGTGACCGAGGAGGAGACAGGAAGCTCTGAGGAGGGAATGGGTTGAAGGGTGGCTCCTCTGCCCCTACCAATGATGAGTCCACCTGCCATATGGGAATGTAACTCAATTTTTAAAAAGTCCTAGGAGATCTCATTAAAGATCTTGAGACGAGATCATCTTGCACCAGGTGGGTTCTAAGGGCGGTGATAAGTATCCTTCTAAGAGAAGAAAAGTGGTGGCGCACACCTGTAACCCAGCACTCAGGAGGCTGAGGCAGGAGGATCGTTGCGAATTTGAGACCAGCTTGGGCTACAAAGTGAGCTCAAGGCCAGCCTGAACTACATGAGACCCTGTCTCAAAAAGACAAAAAAAAAAAAAAAAAAAAAAAAAAAAAAAAAAAAAGAGAGAGAAGAAAAGCGGGAAGACCCAGAGGAGAGACCACAGGAAAACAGAGGCAGGCCGTAGGGGATGCCCCAAAGATAGTGGAGCCACCGGAAGCCAGGAGAGAGGTATGGACAGATTCTCCTTCCACATTTCCAGAAGGAGCCCTGCTGACATCTTGATTTTGGAGTTCTGATTTCCAGAACTGAGCTCCAAACCCGGCCCGCCACTGCCTTGCTGTGCCTCCTTAGGCAAGGTGCCTGTCTACCATTCGGTTTTGTATCCGTACGGGAGGCATAAAAAAACGCTCCCACAGAGTCCCACAAAACGTGCCTACAGACACCTGCCATGTGCTGAGTGGCCCCTTCATCTGCCGTTTCCGTCTTGATCAGACACGGAGGAGGGGAAGGAAAGGAGACAAAGGGAAGACAAACACAGGGGCTCTGCACTGAAGCAATGCGGGAGATGGAGGCGGTATGTACTCTGGGGGTAGAAGTGAGCAGGGAGGAGAGAGCATAGTGTAGTGAGAGTCTGCTTTGAAATGTCAGGAGAAAAAAGAAATCAAGAGAACTCAGTGGGGCTATGCCCCTGGGGTGGGCAGGGCTCGCACATGTCTTCACTTGTCACTGTAAGCACACCTAGCAGAGCTCAGACTTAGCATTCTTTAAGGGTTCCTGAAGGCATCTTGCTGAGAAGGCACGAGCAGAAAGGAGCACAGGCGTGGAGGGAATAAGTCTTTTCTTTCTGGTACGTCCACCACTGTCCGGCCCCATGGGGCACTGCTAGACATCAGACACCGGAACAGGTAGCTGCATCAGTGTCCCACATAATCCCACGTGTGGAGACCTGCAAACCCTCAGGTGCCTCTGCGTGGCAGTCCCACCAACATCCTCACTCCTCAATGGTAACATCCCGAAAGATGAGCAACAAGAGATAAAACTGATGACCACTGTGATAGAGTAGCTGATAAAGAAGAGGAGTGACAGTTTTCACAACTTTGTGATTTTCAGAGAAGCCTCTCTCCTGGAGCTGTTGGACCTGGAGGAATGGGAAGAGAATCTCAGCATATGAAATTTCACGGCAGGCTTAGCCAGGGTGGGTATGTTAATATAGCTCTTAGAACTCGGGGCTCTTTAGGAGCCTCCCATCATCAAATGCCTTATCATAGCTCAGAGCAACCACAGATAGGCAGGGCAGGAAGCAGCTGGAATGGGAACAGGGTCTGAACCATGAAGTCATAAAGCTCTGGAAAACCTCCTCCTCTGCAGGCTTCCAACTGTGGCTAGCAGTGGGGGTGGGGATAGTAACCAATGCAATCCCCAGATGAAAAGACAATGCTGGGACTCTTAAAAATTGTGTCCAATGCAATTTTCCAACACTGATAGCCATCTATTCTTACAAATGCCATTTGCACCAAAACACAATCTAATTGTCCACAGTCTTTGGACACTGGACCCTCGGGGTATTTAGAGGCTCTGGCCTTCCCTTACTGTGATGTTTATGAAGTGTCACCTGATGGAAGATGACATATGTAATGTGTCAAAGGAGGCCGGAGCTCAGCTAGGCCCACAACTCCAATCGCAGACACGGAACACCCATGACAGCCATGACCCTTGCAAATTTCACCCTCCCTTGAGCTGCAAAATTGCACTATGGGGTAGATGGGAGAGGACCAGTGGTCTTATTCTCATTCTCCTGTGAGGGCTAATAAGAAGGACTGTTTATTAAACGTAGACCAAGGATTTTTTACGCATTCCCATGGATTATTCCAACTTCACATGGAGAGACAAGATGAAGCCATAGGAGCAGTACCAGGATCAAAGACTTGCCTGTCCTGGCTTTGATGCTTAGTTCTTTCCACTATGACCTGCCAGCTCCCTCTAATGGAGAAACTGAGAACAGAGAACAGAAACCCTCAAGGGTCTTACTTGAGGTCTCACAACAAATAACCAACAGAATCAGGCCCAAATCTCAGCACCATGAATCCAAATCCACAGCTCTTTTTTTGAGGCCAGAGCTCAGGCCATGAACTTCAACACAGAGAAATATAAAAACTGAAAGCATCCAACAATAGTAATTTCCTACCGTTTAGCCAAATAGGGCTTCTAATCACCGAAACTGCTATGCTTTTAGTTAAGAAGTCACTCCTAACAGATTAAACACCTACTATGTTCCAGGCACTCTGTTCTATTATGCTCTAGAAAAACATATGATGCCAGCTCATGTAGCACTACTGGAAGAGATGGTGCTATACCACTGACTAAGTCATAGATGTCAGTTTCCTTTAGTCCTGAGGTTCCAGGAGTGGCTGGACACTGGAGTCACCTGGAGAGATTTAAAACATCCAATGTCTGTGACCCATCCCCAGTGTTTGTGATTTAACTGGTACAGCCTGAGCATTGGGATTTTTAAACAGAAGAGAGATTTGCTAATTATCTATCCACATGACTTAATTATGAACATGAAGTACTTCTTTTTCAGCCATGAATGACTACTTGCTCATTTTCCAAGTTGATGTGATGCAAACTTGTGATAACCAAGAGAAAAAGCAGTCCATTCTAGAAATATTTAAAACTTGGATGCTTCAAGAGGAGAAACCTATGGTGATAGAATTATTATAATCCAGCAATAAATCTCTCCCTGAGTTTTCTGGAGCAAATGCCCAAGGCTGAATAGGAAAGATCTTGGTGTAATCATAGTAAACAAACAAACGAACAACAAAAAAACCCAGAAACGTTAGAGTAAAACCACAATATTATTTTCTGTCAGCTAGTTCTAGGAAGATCTGAGAAAAATATTTGGATGAATAAGACAGCTGACCGCTCATACTTTGTGACTCATGAACAAGCTGGCTGCTCCCAAAGCCGCCAACAGCCAATTTGAAGGTTGGCTACTCTTTCCAGAACGTCCATGAGCTTCCTGAGAATGACCCTGGACTGAGCAAAGCATGAGGCAGGCGAGACAGACTGCAGTCCAGCTGTCTCAGGAAATCTTTCTACCACAGCCCAAGCAAGGAAGAAAGGAGCCAGCTCACCACACGACTCCACAGCGTCTTAACTGTTCGCAGAGAGAGCTCCAGTGAAGCTGAGATGCCATTCAACACATGAACGGACCCTGCATCTGACACCTCACTCCTACCCCAGTTTCCTGAGGCTATAATTCTTAGGATATTGCAGCAACAGTTGCGGATGGGAAAGACCAATCGAGGGCACCCTGGAGCAGGCCTGGTCAAGGGGAACTTACGGGGGGTTGTCGCATTTCCTCTGCCGGAAGCGCGCTCCTGTCCCACACGTCCGGCTGCACATGCTCCAGCTGCCCCATGGGCTCCAGTCTCCGTCCACGTGCTCCGGGATGGGAGTCTTGCTCACACACTCCCCTGCTCGACACCACTGAAACACAGCAGGGGTGGCCCGGGCACTCAGCAAAGCTGCTCTGCCCCAAAGGACTGATTCCCTCTACCATGCCAATATCTAAATTTTTAAAAGAAGATTTACATAAAACTAGACTATGTGGAGGTAGGCATGTTTGCTAATCTACTGACATTCCTTACTGACTGACACTTACGTCCCACTGGACTTTGGATTTCACCCTCAACTTCCACGTGGGATGAGCCTCCCTGGGATTTTCTAAATTCTCAGCAAAAGGATGAATCCATATGGCTCATGGAGGACCTGAGATTTCTACAAACTGCTCTGGCTTAAATTGCAGCATTTCCAGGTTCTGAGGTCAGAACTTCAGGGTGGGGTTTGGTGCTGAGCTATGACACAGGCAGCTCCCTATGGGTACACCTTTGTTTTTTTGGAGGATAAAACAAGGCCAGTCTCTAAAATAGATTTTCCTAAGGGTGTGACACAGTGGTTTCCAATCAGGAGTCGGAATGGAGTATTGCTTCCTTCTTGCAATGGCACGAAGGAGAAAGCTGTGTGGCTGCCGGTCCTGACCAGCTCTCTTTGCCAACTCTCCCATTCACAAGGATGGCTGGCCCTCTTGACATCTAGCTAGAATTGGATAAAACTGTTCTCCTTAGATTCATGTATGACAGCCTTTTGTGCAGGGCCTGTGAAATCGGTTTTTCACTTAAAGTGTACTGATTAAGGTTTGTTTCCTTTTAAGTAAATGTGACAAAAGGAGTTCATCTAAAATACGAAGTGATTCTTATATCTAACTGCCTATAATGAATGCGATCATTACGTACACCTAAAATCCACCAATAAATTGAATTCATTAAAAAATGACTCTTGTGTCTTTATAAGAAAATGGAGGTGATGTAGGTACAGCCTGTGCCGGGACTGGGCTCTGCGTCATTTCCACAGAGCCCTGGATGATGTTGCAGGCGTTCCTGGACAGAGCGCACGCTGTCTTTCAGCAGGACAGGTGCCCATGGCCTCCGGCAGGCGTACGCTGCTGCACAGGTGGTGGGAGGCTGGGGGTTACCTTGTCTGCCCCACACTCGGTGCCATCCAGGGGAGGGTCCAGCTTGGTCTTGCAGGACGTATCTCCTTCTACCAGGCACCACAGTCCAGCACACATCAGATGCTGCAGGACAAGGGAAGCAAGCATGACTGCCAAGACACTCACAGGCACACAGGTTACAGACGGGGCTGGGCATGTGGGGCAATGCGTGTTTAGATTTGGAATTTGAAATGTGGAGAAGAGGGAGGGTTTTGAGTCTGGATGTCCAGATAATAGGAACATCGTTTTACCTGGTTCATTTGGTGCGATGAAACTCTGTGCATTTACTCCTCGGAAGGCTTATCTCATAGGACTGAATTTAGCCTGATCCAGCATCTAGCACTGAAGGTCTAGGAGGTGACAGGATAATAGCTCTTGCTCCTGGGAGCTATTTATAAACAATTCCTTTCCATTTCACATAGCAAGGGAGGGACATGGGAAACACCTACAGGCTGTAAGGAAGTGTAAAAGATTCAGGTCTATTCAAACCTCATCAGAGAGGGTTTGTTGGAAGACGCACTCTACAGCCCAGAAGGGTGTGCACCCTTCATGAGGCCCGGGAGTGAGATCTCAAAGGACAAAGAAGGGCTCGGCCCCCACAGGGTTACAGAGGCAGCATTCCATTCTTCCTGCCAGGTTGCTAGCCCAGCTGTGCATAATGTCTTACAGTATTTCACTTAGAGAATTTTGCAACATTCATGAATGTACAATTAAAATAACTCTACTTATAACAAGAAGAGGCACTTAAAAACACAGACTCCCAACTGCATTAATAAGAAATTTGGACATGAAAAAGTGCTTAGAATGAGACACTTTTCAAAATCACTGAGGCAGACATGGCCGGAGTCCTTCCCCCATGCTCCCTAAGGATGTGTGTAGACAGAGCCATCAACCATCAGGGTGGGAGCTGGATGACCCTGATCCTGCTTGGGGTGATGTCTCTGAGGCGAGCTCTGCATATTCGCTCAGAGGGTCCTGGCAGGATGACCCCGCTGCCCACGACAGTCACCTATCCATCAGTGTACCTTCTTGACTCCTTCCCCTCAACCGCCCTCTCACAGTATTTCCTGGGATTGCTTCCCAGATAAACTACTTGCACCCAAATCCTTGCCTCATGGCCTGAAAATTGGAAACAGATGTACTTAAGGATCATTTAAAGACACAGGGCTTCCTGGATGCCAAACCCAATCACGTTTTCAAGGCCTGAGTTGCCAAGGCGTGGCCAGGGGATCTGCCGGTGTCCTCGGGGCGAGGTGAAGGTGAAGAGGCCTCTCTGGTGTGGACAGCACTGTCTCTTTGGGGTTGGCAAAGGGTGTGCTGTGCTCTGTTTGCACGACTGCTGTTCCAAGAAATCTCAAACATCTGCACAGAATAGATGTGCAACTGTACTGTCTACAGTCAAAGAATGTTTAGAGGTTGAAGGGACAAAAATGAAGCAGAGAAAAGGAAGGAAAACAGAGCTGAAGGGTGCTTTTAAAATGAGCTAAGAGAACCCACAGATCTTTCTCATTTTTCAAGTATGAAGAAATTGACTTGTGCCCTTCAAAAGCTGATGGTCCAAGTGGAACAGTGTACATTTGCGTTCAGAAGAGTCTACATGTTCCCGTTATGTCCAGCTCTCAATGGAATGGTAAAAGGATGAGAGCAATGAGCGCAGCACAGCTGGTCCTATAAAGACTGACTGCACCTCATTAAATTCTTGATTCCTTGCACTTTGACCTCACATTTCTTTGAGAGTGTTGGATCTACCCAAAGACATGTGTTCAGGAGGCAAGGCTGACTCAGCAGGGCAATTTATGAGGTAGGAGTGCTTGGGATTAGGGGAACAGCCACATCAAGAGAGAGGAAGAAGGTGGTGTGAACCATTTATTATGCATTTTATAGATAGTGCTTTCTTATGAAACTTTTCTAATCAGCAAAGAGAAGGGGAATGAAGTTTGGTAGAGATTTTTTCAACAGTGCAAGAAGTACACAAAGGAAAATAATTAATGAATTATGGTATATGAACTGTTTATCAAAAGAGAACTGTAGGAAAATAGGAGACGCCATTTCAGTACATGGGGTAAATATTCATAACAGAGAACCAAGGTGTTTGTACCTAGAATACACTAGAAAACAAAACAAAAACTCAGGTAGTTAAAATAAGGAAAAGATCAAGTAGAAAAATGGGTAAAGACTTAAACAGACATTTCACAAAAGAGGATATCTAAGTGGCCAGTAAACATATGACAATGTAGTCAATCTCTTTTATCATCAGAGAAAGATAAAATAAGATTCCTTCCATCCATCCATCCATCCATCCATTGATCCTTCCATCTACCCACCCACCCACCCTATCTGCATATACCTCCAGAAAGGTAAGAATGAAAAAGATGGAGAATTCCAAGTATTGGTAAGGATGTGGCCCAAAGGGAACTCTTGTGTACTGATGGCAAGATTCTAATTTAGTTCAACTACTTTGAAAAACTCTTTCACTAAAGTTGAAGACATGAGCATTCTAATACCTAGCAGTTCTAATACCTAGCAGTTCTAACTCTGTACTGAAAAGAAATCTGTATATGTGTCCCTTGAAGACATTGTCAAGAATGTTCATTCCAGCAATATGTGTGTTAGTCTCAAGTGCGAAACCACCCAAATGCCCATCAGCCACGGAAGAGATATATTATTTCATATTAGAAAGATGAAATAATGTATGATTTCATTTCTATAATGTTCAAAGACAAAACTATGGTGTTGGGAGTCTGCGAAGTGATCACTTTTGCATTCAGTTTAAAACCAAAGAAAAGGAGGATGGACAGACAGGAGACTTTAGAAGTGTGGCCTCTGACCCAGGACTGGCCACCAGCATTGTCCTGGGTGTCCTAGCCAAGCAGTCACCCTAGCTGGGATTCATTGTCACTAATGGACAAGTAGGATGGACTGCATTTGATGTCTTCCAGATTGACAGTTTGCATTCGTGTCATTCTTTACAAATGACAAAGCACCCTAATTCCTATCATCCTGAGCTTTACAAAGCCCTGGGAGGCAATCTGTGGTGGTCAAAGAGCCCAAGCTGGGTCAGAAGCACAGGCCTCCTAAAGAAGAGAACTGAAATAATGCAACAGAAAGGGAATTTGAATATAAATTCAAGACCCTGTCCTGAAATGAAAGATCTCAGCTTCAGATTGAAAAGCAAAGTCGTGTTCCAAGAAAAAAGGCAAAGAATTACGAACCAAGATGCATGTCCTGATAAAGTTATTATATTTCAAAGATAAAGGGAAAAAAGCCTTTGGGTAGCCAGGAAAATGGATCCAGTTTTAGGTAATGGGAAAAGACACCAGGCTGTCCAGAGGTATCTCTGAGGCTGCAGCAGCCCTGAGGTGGCAGGAATGGTGATAATGACACAAAGAAAGACCATATGACCCAGGAAGTTCAGATAAACCTAACATCCCTATTCTGGGGCTATAAATCTAAAGTGCTCAAAAATCTAACGTTTCTTGGGCTACAACATGACATTACAAGTAGAAAATTCCACGCCTGACTTCATGTGACAGATTGAAGTCAAGACATAGAGACACACTGAAAATATTGTGTGAAATTACCTTCAGGCTATGTGTATAAGGTATATATGAAACATAAATGAATTTCATGTTTAGACTTGGGTTTCACCCCCATGACATCTCCTTCATGTCAAATATTCCTTAATCCTCTCCCCAGCACACAATCCAAAATCTGTACCAAGCATTTCAAATATTTCATACAAAGCATTCTCAGCTTGTATCAACTAAACTGTTACTCAAGTATTTTGGTAACTGAAAACATTTTTGAACGTACAAATACTTGGATCCGTTTTGAGAAAATATAGAATAAACTTCAGTCAACTAGGAACTAGCTGGAGAACCCATGGGAAAATACTAGCAGGGAAGAGTGATCCAAGTACTGATTGAAATCAGTGTGGGGACTGAAGTTAGAGGACAGAATGCACACACAGAAAGACAGGGCAGGAATGGTAGAAAGAAGAGCTGACTGGAAAACAAGGTGAGATGTGGCAGAATGAAAAGAGAAGGAAGTCGCCTACTTGTATACACCCATTTCTTTATATTTTCTAGCTTGGGAAAGAGAAAAATAAAACATAAATAAAAGAACCAAGATACGACAGCTTTTAAAGGTAAAAAGAAAAGCACTGAGAAATATAATAAAACTGGACAGTAGAGGGGAGGAAAGACGGGGCTAGGAGGTGGAGATAGATTCACTTTTTAGTGCTCATGAAGGTGGGCTCCACAGGGTCTCCTGAGGGAGAGGGTAAGGGATGGAGGCATTTCTGCTTCCATGAAAAGAGCAGATCAGATGCTCTGTGGGATGCAGGGCTGCTCCTCCATGACATAATGGCCAGGTACTTAATAAAACAGAATTCTTGTTGCTGAGCTCACCAGAAGTAGAGGAAATAGCCAAGGAAGCAATTATAAAATACCCACAAATAAAATGTACCCGTACATTCAAACATAGACCAATCTGTGATAAACACATATGAGGCCTGGTTCCCCTGAGGACAGGTGATGGGCTTGACACTGCAGTAAGTCTGCTGCTGGCAACCAGGTCAGAAGGTCTAGCCTGAGACACCCAGGATAAGCTCATGAATCTGAAAAGATGCTTACCAAGTCTGGAAAGGTGAGCGGCAGCCAGCCCCTGGCTTTGGATGAAGCAAATATAAGAAGGAAAGCAATGATATTTAGACTGTCAGGATTCCACAGATCTGGCCAGTACAGTGTAAAACTCACAATCAAACAAACATAAGTGACAGGCAGCAGGGGCCAAGAACAAAATGTTCAAACTGCCCAGGTGTTTGGATAATGTAATGATTAGCCCGGAAGGTATAGTAACTACAAAATGTCTAAAGACACAGAGGATGAGAGTGCATAAACAAGCAAGCAGCAAGATACTATGGAAAATGAAGGGACAAATTTGAAAAAGCAATAGAAACACGCATTTAAAAGTTAAATTTACAATTGTTGAAAAAAACTAAGGCCTTGTGATGAGAGAACTGGTGACTAGGAAACAGAGCTAAAGGAATGACACAGAATGTAGCCTGAAGGGAAAAAAAGAGG